ACGTAAAAACTTCACTTTTACATGCTGTCATTAATAAATGAAAGAAATAGATGTTTTCCATGCTTTCTTCTTCTCTTTTTGATCAAGTTTTAAAAAGTTCATCTCTTCCCAGGGCTGATATGACAAATTTAACAGCAGAAAGTAGTAGGGAGGAGTCACCGGGAAATTACGAAAGCTGGTATATGCAGTTTGGAACAATCATAAGTTGGCACTGGTATAGTCCTAACACCTGGCATTACCAAAGTCCCCCTCATAAAACTGACAGTATCATAACAACAAAAGCAAAGCAATTGATTAGATAGTACATCTGGACATGTAGCTGCAAATTCAAGCTCCTCACCAAATGAGGACGTCTTCTACTTTTCTTTAAATTAAAAATCTAGTATATTCCTCCTCCACTTTCTCAAAATGAGAATACTTCAGATATTCAGCATCTTAGCCATAAGGCTCAAAACACAGGACCAAGAGCTCCATTGTGCTAGAATCTCTTAAAAAGAAAACGACAACTAAATGCAAAAGTTGGATTTCTTGTTCCAGTATATCTCAATAGAGAAAAGCTTCAGAAACCAAACTGGAAAAGAACATCCAGACAAACATCTTAAATCTGTGCTGGTGAAAATGGGAAAGAGACAATCCTCTTTAATTCCCAGAACAAACTTTCCTTTTGCATCTTTGCCAAAAGCACTCCACACAGAAAAACTCTAATCCACAGGGTTACATGACACCTACAGAAGAGCACTTTCCTGAACAACTGCAGAAGTCTTTACAGTGATATTTTAAATTTTTCCTTGTTTCCCACTCACAAGCAGGCTTGCTCCTGTCCCCTCTGCCTTCACCCCCCAGGGTCAAAAGGAAAGAGAAGGTGGCCAGAGCTGGCCTGTTTCCTCATAACTATGGCAATGCAAGACTGCTGGCAGGCTGCTCCTCCCTGTCCCCATGAAAGAAAACAAAGAAACTCGCTCCTCCTGGATCGCCTTGCAAAACGTGTTTTCCTGTTTGTCTTTTACCACCACGATCCTCTGATATCTAACAGTATCTTTCCACTCAGTCAACAGGTCTTCCTCTCACTGGAGCAATAATCAGATAATTTCCTCTGCTCAGATGTTTGTCCCCACAAAAAGCTTTGGCACTTACCTTTGACACCTCTACCCTCTTGTCAGACATCATCACCTCCTCAGCGTATTGACCAATTTCCTTCAGGGATATTGATAGCATGATGCTTTATGCAGTGAGAAATCAATCTAAGAAACATACGGGGGTGGCGGGGAAAGACAAGCATTTGTTCACAGAGACAATTCTGCTTTAAAAGCACAGGCAGTATCCTCAGCATGAAGTAGAAACATAAAGAGACCTAACCCTACCACATTAGGGAGTAAATTTGATCCTACACATGGTTAACTTATCCCCATCTACTTCAGGCATATAAATAAATAAATTTTAAAATGAAATAAATTAAAAAAAAAAATCACAAGCCACGAAGATACAAAACTGTGAGCTAAGTCACCAAGTACAAAAGAAAGAAGCTTGCAGTCTCTGCACTTTGCAGTGCTTCTGCAGATGCTCTGTATCACATACACGAAAAATTAGTGCTTACAGTCTACCAACAGACACTTCACATGCTGACAGCAGCCCGACATCTGCAGCCAGAAGACAACTGGGGGATGCCCCTGCAGCCAGCTTCTTCTCTCAGCTCATTGGCAGAGGCTGGACATGCAGCCGAGGTGACAGCACTGAGTCACCGTGCTGGCAGCCAGCCCCAACCAACTCCCACAGCCACCAACACAGGGCTCCAGTGCACAGCTCAAGGTAACCTCTCCAGATATTGCACCAAGCTCCCTTTGCATGGGAAATGTTCAACCACAGGAAAAGCAGAAAGATCCCAATTCCTTCTGCAGCCAGATGCCCTTCAGAGGGACATGGTCTCAGTCAAACTCCACTCCCAAGCAATTTAATATCTCTTACCTCTGCGGTTTGCTGGGCTTTTTGTTGTTTTTATTTATTTATTTGTTTTCCTATTGTTTAATTGGCTGGGCTTTTTTTTTTTTTTTTTTTTTTTTTTTAAATTTTCATGTGTGCTGCTGCTCACCTACAGACCCCAACGCTCAGTCAATTCCCACAAGATTCGTAAGACTACTGATGGCCTTTGCAAGAATTCAGACTGCAAAAACAAGTATTTCTCATACCTATCATGCAACCAAGATTCATTAAAAGAATAGGGAAAAAAAAAAAAAAAAAAATCACTCTGATGTTAGGTAGTAGGAAAGACAAAAAAAAGTAAGCCACATTGTGTGCAAATGGGAGAGAAGCTTGCTAAAAAGTATAACTTCATTTGCTTGCATAATCAATTTGTCACACATTGTTGTACTGTTTTTTTTTTTTTTTTTTTTTTTTTTCCATGCAGCATTTATGTTATAAAGGCATTTCCTTTAAAACCAACGTATATAAGCAACAAATAAGCCTCTACAAATAAATACAATTCAAAAACAGTTAATCACAGTACTTAAACTGAAATCCACAACATGGCAGCTGGATGGCCAGAGTGCCAAGCATTTACTGGTTTCAGAAGTTGCAGAAACAGCATGCGTTGTTCAGACCACAACCTCCGATGTTTCAACATCTGATGGATGGTACTATCCTGAGAAGCAACACCCACTGCTAGTCTGCTTCCATCAAAACACTATGGCACAGAGGAGCACCAAGCCACCAATCCACCTGATTCAACACATCTCTCTGCGGGTATATCTGTCACTGCCAAGCCCCAAACTTCTGAAGACACAGATCATATCCCAAGTGCTTGCTGCCCCCTTACCTAACAGAAGCCTGTCATTTCAAGGGAGGATGTCTGACCAGATTACAAGCAACCCAGGGCTCAGCAAAGGGCATACTGTTTGCCCAAGAGCAGGAGTGCCCAAACTGATTCCAGTGCCACCATGCTGTGACGATGCCAGATCTGAACTAATAAACCCAGCCACCTAAAAGATTTTACCAGCTTCAATCAAAACAGACTTCGCTTTTAAGGGAGAAAAAAAAAAAACCCTCCCACTTTATCATGATAAGTTAAACACACTATGGAGGACTTATGTGCTTATAGGAAGAGAGGCCTACCATCAGAACCTGTGGCTCTGTACTTCTGCTCACAAACCAGACAGCACAGAAAGGGCAGAGAGCTTTCATTAGAGCAGATAATTCAAAATAAGCCAGGGTGAAATAGAAAAGTGGCTGGAGAAATGCATTTCATAGCTGTGCTTGTGAGCTATGAAACACATTCCTCTTCAAACACCAAGAACAACATCCTCGGAACCTTCTCAGAACTCAAGTTTTCAGAAATCAAATTCTCCTATTGAATGTGACCACATAAGCCAAGCCTCTTGCTAGAGCACAAAACAAGCACAGAGTTGGCACAGCTCCGCTGCGCTCCCTGGAGCTGAGGAGCTGCTGCTTCGGCACAGAAGCCACAGGGAGAAGCTTTGGCAAGAATACTGGAAAAGAAACTTATGTGCCAGGGTCACAGCCTGTCTGATAAACTGTGTGGTAAAACTTGAAATCACCTCACACAACCCTTTTCTCCCTTTTCCTTAATTCCTGAAATCCAAGGATTGTGTAGATGCACAGCAATGGGAAACCATCGCAGAAGGTCAGAAGTTCTGCCTGACAAAACTGAGCATGGGCTGGCTCCAGGCAGTTCTCCACACAAGGTGCAGGGAGCTGCAGCATAGGCAAGCAAGCAGCTTGCAGACCTCCCTTCAGCTGAGGGCAGTGCCTCCAAGCTGAATTCCAGCAAACACGGCAGTTTTTTATGCAGTCAGTGGGGAAGATGGGCAGCTAGATGGCTGGTGGGGATTTTTCCATGCCATTGTGCCACCTCATTAGCAGGCATTTTCCTCTGATCACTGCAAGTGTACGTGCACGACTGGCCAAGAGTACATTACTCACTGTAGGAAGAAAGTGAAACAGAGAGAAGACTTGGCAAATCCCTGAAAGAAATATCACAGACATCCTAAAAGTAACAACACTCATTCAAGACACGACTGTTTACACTACAAGACTCATTACAGGGGAGGCTTGCCTACTTTTAGAGATAGATATCACTACAATTGAGTGCTAGATAAACCCAAATAATTATTCTAAAAAGGCGTTGCATCACGAATTATTGTAAACATCTCCAGTTCCCTGTGGGCTGCTTCACTGCTCCTCCTGCTCCTGCGGTGCTGCAGCCTCCGTGACATACAGCTGGCAGAGCAGAGGCAGCCAGGGCTGCTGCCACAGCACACACGCACCGAGACACAAGGCCACATTATTAGCTGTGCTATGGAACCAGCAACTTGTAATCGATCACCACAAGGATTGCCGAGGAATAAAAGCGCCCCAAGCGCCACTTGCAGAGCCCCGTGCCGCGGCGGTGCAGGCGGATCGTGTTCGGACAGCGCAGCGCGGAAACACCGCCGGGTTCCGCCTGAAAGAACCTGCGGGAACGCAGACGTGCCCGCTCCCAGGGCCGAGGAAAAGCACCGGCCGGGCGCCCGCCTCCACGGAGCAGCCCAGTTCTCGGCCGCATAGCCCAGGGAAGCGCCTGGCGGCGCGCAGATCGAACCGGCCCTCAGCAAGTCTCCCGCCCTCGGCACCCCGCAGCCGCCCCTCCGGACCACAAGCCCAGCAGCGCCTGCCGCCGCGGGCTCCGCCGCTTCGAAGGGGCCGCGGACAGCGATGCCAGGAGGCCGAGCCCCAGCTGCCCGAGAGAGGGAGCTGCGATCCCAGCCGCACCGGGGGGCTCCGGGGCCGGAGCTGCCGCCGCGCCGCCACCCCCTCAAAATGGCTTCGCCACCGCCGCGGCCCCTCGCCGGGCAAGGCCGCCCGCACCCCCCCCACACGCCGGCCGCGCCGCACTGCGCCCGCCACGCCGCACTCTACAGGTGAGGGTCCGGCCCCGGCACCTGCTGCCGCGCTCGGACCCGGACGGGTCCCGCGGGGCGCTCCCGCCGCCGCCCCCCGTCCCGCCTCACCTCTCAGAGCCGCGCCGCCGCCGTTCCGCCGTGCGCGGCCCCCGCCGAGCACCGCCACGGCTGCCGCTGCGTCGCCGCCTCCGCCAGAATCCGTGCGTGCCTGCGCGCTACCGGGACAAGCGGCCGCGCGCGCACCCGCCCCTGCCGACGTGCAAAACCGCGCCCGGCCTAGCGGCGGCGCGAACACCGCGTGCGGAAAGCGGCGCAGATTGGCTGAAGACGGCGGGGCGGGGCGGGGTGGGGCGGGGCGCGCTGCGGCGCTGCGGCGGGGCGGGGCGGGGCTGCGCTGCGCTGCGCTGCGGGAGGCGGCGCGAAGGGGGTGCGGGCGTGGTGCTGCCGCAGGGCTTGTGTGTGTTGGCACCGCGCCGCGCCTGGGCTGGGTGACGCGGGAAAGAGAAGTCATCTTCCAGTAGGAGCTTGGGCGGGGCAGGGCAGAGCGTGGCGTGCCCGGACAGTTTGCTAAGGTAACGTCCGCCTGACCTGTCCTCTGGCGCAACCAGAACCCTGCTGCCCAGCAGAAGTCCCAGGCGGGCGGCAGGAGGAAGCATAGAATCATAGAATCGCTTAGGTTGGAAAAGATCTTAAAGATCACCGGGTCCAACCACAACCTGACCGTACCGTCCTAACAGCCCTCCACTAGATCGTGGCCCTGAGCACCACGTCCAAGCAGCGGACAAAGAAGCTGATGGGAGCCCAAGTGCAGAGACGGCCACAAGTGAAATGGCTGCAAGCAGTCTTCAGAGGAAAGCAAGAAACAAAACATACCTCGGATTCAGGAGCATGCTTTTAGCAGGTGGAAAATAATTTCACAGTTTAATACTGCAGTAATCCTACAGGGACCCTGCTTATTCTGCATCGGATGCCTGGCTTGCATCAGTCCCTGCAGTTAACAGAAGTGCCAAGAGACCTGCTGAGCCTTTGGACCTGAGGAGCCTGTGGAGAGCCCAGCCTCAGCTGCATGTATTCACAGAGAGCGCAGGATGAAGGTGGACCCATCTGCAAAAGCAGCAGATCTGTGCCCAGAAGCAAAGTGAGAGCTGGTAGATTTGAGGAAGAAAGGAAAAACACTGTGTACATCCAAGCATCTGTTAGGCCAGTAGGAGATCATGGCTTCTTTTACCTTTTATCCCATAATGCCTCTGAAAGACTCGATTTTATTTTTCAGCAAGGTCACTTTTTTTTTTGAGAGCCACAGAAATACCAATTATACATCAAAAAAAGGAAAGAATGGCTGCATACCGCTCACACTCTCCCTCCTTAGTCCCTGTGGCTGTGACTGACTGCACAGTCAGCAGCATCAGGAGGACTGAACCTCTTTGTTTTCAAAACCATCTCAGAAGCAGATAAGTGGATCCAGCCGCATAGGGCAAAGTGTTTTCTGTAAAGTACCTCCACACAGGCAGCAGCGAATTTCATCTGCACTTCTAGTGGGTGTTTCATGGCTTGCTATGCAAAGTGTTGCTCATGTGTTCAACCTGAATGGAATTGGGAAAGGTTTAAATAATTACGTCAAAAATGGATTCTTGCACAGTCTGCCTGCAGGCTTGTAAGGGAAGCATGTCTTCATCTGGGGAAGTGAGGTTTCTGAGCAGTGACTTCTGTTTTGCCATCAGCATTTGCAGAACTTAAAACAAGCCCAACAGGGCACAACAGAAAGTAGTGGTGCAGCTTCACATCTATTTTGGCCTCACTCTTCCAAATTTTGCTGTTTCTCAGCCCCAAAGGCCAGTACTGCTCCTTTCCTCCCATCTATCTGAGTGCTTCATCAAGCCCCATCATCTCATCCCCAGCCACAGCTGACCACAGACATTGATTGATCAAGCAAAAATCTTAATTTTCCAGCTGTTTATCTCTTTGAGGTTACTGAATGAACATCAGAATTTATTAAATAAGCTATGAGCTTATTTAATTTGCCTTCAGATAATATTTTTTCATCCAAGAAGCCACATTAGACACTACCAACTGCAGCCTTTTTGCCTGGTGTGGGAGTCACCAAGCTGCCCAGCACAGCACCCCTCTGCAGGCCAGACTGCCCCCCAAATGTTGGAGAAGAAGTCCACTACATGAGGAGCCTGTGGAGAGCCCAGCCTCAGTTGCATGTATCCACAGAGAGCTCAGGATGAAGGTGGACCCATCTGCAAAAGCAGCAGATCTGTGCCCAGAAGCAAAGTGAGAGCTGGTAGATTTGAGGAAGGAAGGAAGGAAAAACGCTGTGTACATCCATCTGTAGGAAGTCCAGGAGTCAACACTGTCCTCAATGCAGTAAAAAAGTAATAGCTGTTCTGCATGCCAGTATTTCTAGAGAAAAGATGTTAGATGTGAATTCAGTGAAATGCAGAATATATGCTGGAAATATATTAGGAAGACGCTTCTACCAGGCAAGTAGAGGGACACGTGTCCATCATGTGCACCAGCACCAGGACTCTCTGAAAAGGGTCAGATAGACCCAAACTACAGAAAGTACTAGATAGATGGAGTGGAGAGGTGGCTGCAGAGCTTTGCAGCCTGCCTGCTCTCCAGAGCAGAGCTGTTCTGCAAATATAGCCACCACAGATGCTGTGCGGACCACAGGGAATAGTTTCCTCACCCAAAGTGAAATCTGAGCTGCTGCTGACTCCAAGACATAAGCAAAACCTAGGAGCCACAGAATATTACAGCAAAGGAGAGAGTATCCAAAAACGCAGTAACCAACACCTAAAATCAAAATGCTATGGGGTGAGAGGCCCTCCTGAAACCACCACTCCTCACATACATCCTCCAACTGCATGAGAGTGCCCACAGCCCCGCCAGCAATACCCAGCCTCCAGAACAATAAGCTGTTCATTAAGGTGGTGAGGATCAAAATCGAGCAAATATTTGAAGAGCAAAATTTGATTATACCATATGCTTTTAACTGTGATTTTCTATGGTTTTTGAGCCCTGTCATTTTATACTTTGTCTACTCATCTGACAAGCTGGCAAGTGCTCACATAACGAATAGCAAAGGAAAGTTGACAGTAATCTTATTGCAGCGTGCAACTGGGCAATGAGCTACATGCCCTGTGTCAGGGAGAAGCACGACCACTTAGCTATCAAAGAAGTGTTTTATATACATCTTTCAGATAAAAATGATCTGTACTGCTGTATCAAACACCTCAGTATTATTAAGACCTCACACTAAGTGCTTAGTTCACTTTCTCACCCATTTCTCTAGAGTGCTAAGGTGTTGTTACTGCATTGCATTGAGCTTCCTCCCTAGTTGTTCCATGCACACACACAGCACCAAGCAGCTGCTCTGCTTGCGCTTGGCTTGTTCCCTCACCCATTTGCTCCTGGCAGGGTAAGGACTTGTGCACAGATTTATGGGGAGGATGAAGCAGATCAGCACAAAAGGCTGGGCTGGAAACAACAACCTATTTTTGTACATCCTCCTTCAGAGGATGTCCTTCTCCCTGCCCTGCCTAGGAGCAGCATCGCCTGAAGGCTGTAAGCAGGCAGCTCTTGGTTGTGGGAAGCTTCACCTCCAAGAAACCTTCACCTTTCTTACTGTATTTTTTCAGCTGAAGAAATTTAACACTAGCTCCTATTTGAGGATTTTTTTTTTTTTTTTTTTTCATGATCAGCAGTAAGACTCCATTTCTCCCCTGTGGACTGGTACAGAGATGAGTATGGGGTGGGAGACATGGCGTTCTCCCTAGGTTCTTGCCCTGCTGAAGGACTGGTCCAACCCAATGCTGTAATTTGGTCCCCTGCTTATTGCTAGGATGAAAAGCATGCCTTCCCTGAAAAGCACTGGCCTTGCAGAGCTGTCCTGATGTAAAACAGTTGCTGGTGTTTAGGAACCATCACATTTTTTTGAACCATTTCCTCCTTTTTTTCCTAGTTTATATCTAAATCTTCTATTTAAACTTTTTTTTTTTTCCTCTGCTTCATTTGTTATTTGCAAGCTTGCTTTAATAAAGAAATGGATTTTTAACAAGCTTTTGTCAAACTCCTGAGACACTGCAAAGATTAGGCTGTTGCTTGTAAAACTGTGTGTAGCACTTCACAAATGCCGTAAGCCAGAAGCACCATTAGTGTTTGCATACTCTGATAGAGTTTTCCAGCCCAGGTCAGCTCAACTTGCATGCTGGTCTCAATCCTTTGAGTCTCGATGTCTCAGGATGCATTTCGAGTCTCATTTGGCATAAAGCTGCCCAGTGCAGGACTTCTTTATAGGCTAATCCTATTTTGGTGGCCATGCTGTGGCCGTGGCCAGCTTGCCAGCCAGGGTGATGCCACTGGTGAGGCCTGTGAGCTTCCAAGGTCCCTATGGTATGTAGCATTTCAAGATCTGACATGACTATGAGCTTGCGTTGATATGACATAGAGCCATACATTTCAGAAATGACAAGCTCTTCCCAACAGTGTTTGTGCCTGTGATTTCGGGGAATTGTTCTTTGAAATCTTCCCTCACTCTTTGTGTCTGATCACAGGCTCTACAAGAGGCTGAAACCTCTACTTTTCTACTTTTTAACATCTCCCTCTGCACTGAGTGCTAATGTCTGCTTGCCTGCAAGTTCTGACCTACAGAGAGGAGTCCAAGGGGACAACACTTGGGCATCCCAGCAGCTTTTGGGGCATGAACCGTCCTGCTATCACAGTACGTCACTCCTGGTGGGCAGATAATGCTGAGTATCCATTCCGCACCCACCACATTGGAGTTGCACCTCATGCCCAGCGTGCCTTTCAATCCAGACCTGTGTCCAGAGCTCTCATCCTCACCCACAGGCTGTAGTGGTCACACTGAGTGACAACATCCCACCACATTTTCCTGCCTGCTTCTGCCCCAGCTGCAGCATGCCCACTAATCAACTTTAAAAGGAAAAGGAGAGCACACAAATGTTAGGATCACCTGTATTTCTGAGCAGAGGCCACTATAGAGCATGTAATTTAACTCTCCTAAAAATCACTGACACCTCAGTTATTCAGCATGTGTGCCCCACTCCTGAAGCTCACTGGCTGATACTTCCATGCTACTGAGATATCAAGTGTGGGTTTTTTTGTGAAATCAGTGTTGG